AAGTATAACATATTTCAAGAAAGGAAAGCTTGCCTGTTCAAGTACTGAGTTTATGTCTCTACCTCTCTCCACAGTGTCACGTCTTATTCTACGAGCAAGCCTCACGTCAGCATCTAGCATAAAGCAATTATAACCAGTAAAGCGCAATCATGACTAAGAAAAGTGATCTCTCACAATATAAGGACAGAACTTCCAATAAGAGAAAAGCATCAAGATAGTTTCAATGGGGTAAAACTAAAGAATACTCAAAAAGGCTAAAGTGTTTACAACTCTTCAAATGAAAACACTCCCTTCTAGAACAGTAAGAACTTCTAAGCTAAAGAGACTCCAGAAGGAAAAGTATAACACGATCTTGGTAGTCTACTTTAGTTCATTATGTGAATTAATTAGCATAATACCACTAAAGGGCCTTAAAGCAAATTATTACAGGCTCCCCTTAAATTACTAAAACAACTTTGGTAACCTGTAGGTTCAAGGTATATCTTTTACTTATTTATTACTCCCTCCGTTTCAAAAAGAATGTCCTAGTTTGACTTGGAACGGAGTTTAAGAAAAGAAAGAAGACTTTTTAATCTTGTGGTTCTAAATTAAAGTTATGTCAAATGTACCAAAATGCCTTTTAATCTTGTGGCCTTAAACATGCCATGTGGAAAGTTGAAATTAAAGTGTTGCCAAAAAGGAAAGGGGTCATTCTTTTTGAAACAGACAAAAGGAAATAAGGCCATTCTTTTTGAAACGGAGGGAGTGCTACTTTTTATGTGTTTATGGTTTGACATGAATTGAATATTGTCCGACTTTAGCTAAAGTTGAAACAGAAACTTGATATAAATATTTGCCTTAGGTTGGATAAATAATGGAGTTTAATTGTACTCCACTGTGTATAAATTGTACTCTACTGTGTATATGTCACGGGAGATGTGCAGAAGTAATGCTTCCCCCAACTTGGTTGTCGAATGATTGCTTCTAATTACCAAGTGAAACATTCTGTTCCTCACATATGACTGTAGATCATACATAAACGAATATCATTTTAGTCAGGGTGAAACAGAATGATTATGGAACCATGCTAGATCACAACCTGGAGATTCTGACTTTCAGTCTAACCATGATAAGGTGCTACCAAAAGTCAAACCTATTATCAACGATTATTTAAGCAATCAATGCTTGAAAATAATGAAGTTAACTGTTCAGACAATAACTTAGTCAACTCTTCTTCTTTTCTGAAATCTAGAAATCAGCGACATGTAGAATATTTTTGTGGGGAGTTGCAGAAGAGATTGATAAGTTAAAAAAAAATAAGCCTGTCATATTGGATTGCACTGTCCATAAAAGCATAAAACTTAAAATTCTTTTTTGGAACTAGAAGCAAATGAAGCTTATAAGCTTGATGGAATGTGCATGCAAAGTAAAAGAAATCTGATGCAATAGAAACATGGATGACGAATGATAAGCTGGGATGGAGATGCACATGCATGGCATCATGTAACAGAGTGCCAAAATTAATTAAAGAAGTGGAACCTGTATCAACAAAGATCTTCATACTCATCAGATTGCGAACACGCGCATCGTGGAAAACAAGAATACCCTCCAAGATGATAACATCAGATGCATTCACCTGGCAGAATTTACATGCTAGAGATTTGTTAAGTTGCTAAAGAAAAGAATAAACAAACACAAAGAAACTTAACTAGCAAGCTGTATGCATTATTTTCTAAAAGATTGCTCTTCTTAAGAGAAACAGAAGCACAATATCTTATAAACCCGTGAAAAACAAAATTGATGGGTGAGTCATGTAAAATGGAACAACTGTGCAGCAGTCCAGACACAAGTTGATACAAATTGACTGGGGAAATCTCGTTACTCCTACAAAGGATGTGCCAAAAGGCAATAAGCTTAAGCCCCCAAGGCCTAGCTCAAGTGGCAAAAGGTGGAGGATTTGTGGCTTAGGTCACAGGTTCAAGCCCCACACCACGCAAAGCGAAGCCCGGTATTTTAAGTGGAGAAGGGTAGAGGTGCAGGCCCATTATCCACCGAGTTTAGAAGGCTGTGATTGGTTCAAAGGGCGGGTCAAAGACGGATTTCTCGGTTATAAAAAAAAAAAAAAAAGGCAATAAGCTTAAAGGTCTTACTTGATCCTTTGTAGCAATAAGAACCGAGAGTCAAGTAAAATCAGCAATGCCAAAAACATGTAAGTCGACAAACTCAAACTTGAAACAACTAATGCTGTCCAATGACCTTAAATGAGGAGCATAGTGTGAAATGTTCTCATGAAAAAAGAGAAAAGGAGGGACACAGAAAAATGCTACAGTAACATGGTACAAATACATACCTGGCGAAAGCTATCTGAACATCTTTGATGGGTTTTAAAGTCATAAATTGGAACTTGGACCGACATCCCAGATTTTAACTTTTCAACGCACTCTAAGAGCTGCTCAGTGTCAAAGGCATCTGAAAGTAAATCATATATTATTTGGGAGTTAGAACTCATGCTCCTGCACATAATAGCGCCAGAGGTTGCTTAACTGAAAACTAAATCAAGCCATGAAAAGAACAGGAGCCCTAATTTCCAGATCTTCACCAGTTAAACAATTACATCAATGCATTACCTGGGTGATCAAAATTATATTCATGGACATGTTTCATTTCTTCGAGCGTCAAACCGCGGTAGAATGAGTCCTGCATTATCATCAAAATTATGTTATTAAATTAAATGTTTTGAACTTCTCCACACAACTTCCCGGATGAAGATGATCAACATGCATACTAATGTGGTACCCATACCCATTATTTTTATTTTTATTTTGATAAAGTAATTAATGATATTAGAAATCATCAAGAAGATGCGAAGTTACAAAAGCACAGTGTGCAAGAAAGCTGCTCCAAACAGAAAAATATGGAGCTAGCTTGGCAAAAACTTGTGAAACAGTCAATAGGGAACCCTACTACTCTACTGTAAAAGAGATAGGGAACTAACAAAATCCAAAAGGTTATCCACACTGTTTACATTGGCAAAAAAGTGCCAGCTAAATAAACTAACTAGACAATGGTACCCATACCCATTATCTTGTAGCCATTGGAAAATGTAGTATCATACTCAAGCATACCAACATTAATGGCATAATGCCATCCAACTTAGGAGGAATGCATTCTTTTTTTCTTCTCTTTTATTTATTTATATTTATTATAACTTGGTAAATCAAGTCACAGATATATTTTGTGTGGCTTTGACCCCAATCATTAAGAAAGCAAGGACAAGAACCTGAGACATACCTGATTAATCAGCACAACACGATGATCATGAAGTTGTTGGATGATCATGTCACACACAGTAGTCTTACCCGACGCTGTTCCTCCAGAAACCCCTGTTCATAAAATAATAGAACAAATATAAGGCCTAAATCATTATAGTAGAATCTCCATGAAGAAATCCAAAAAGTAAAAACAACAGCTAAACCCTAAAGAGTGCAATATATGGAAGAAGGGGTTTAATACTTCAATATCTATTCTCCTTTATTCTGGGCCATTATAAGTAGGTAAATTGTACACAGAAATCTTAAACTAATTGCCACATTGCAATCAAATCAGTCAATCAACGGCTTCATATAACCGATCAAAATTTCGAAACGAAGTAGGCGTACAAATAAAGCAAAACAGATACTGAAAATTTATATAGGCAACCACAATTTAGTCTAAAATAAATACGTATTTGATTCACTCGAACAAGTAGGAGAAGTAATAGAAAATTGGAGGAATTACCGATGACGAAAGGCTGTTTAAGAGCAGTGGAATCAAGAGGGGTAGGGGTGGAGAAGTGAGTGGGGGTAGGAGTAGGAGAAGCACGGGGAGAAGATGAAGAAGAAGTGAGAAGTCCATCCACTCGGAGACCGGAAAAGTGTGCACCAGAAGCTGCCTCCATCACGTAATCTATAGCCGTTGTTTCCTCCGGCACCGGCGACATAATTGCTTTTTATATAGGGAAGGCCAGAAAACAAATTAGGTAAATAGTCGATGGTGAGAATATTTAGTATATCAGAAACAAACTTAGCTACCTACTAGTACTACACTAATATATTTCTTTTCCAGAATATGCTCTTCGAAATCCATTTCATTAACCTAGTGGACTAATTGTACCTTGGTTGATAGGAGTAAAAATGGTAAAATGAAAATAAAAATAGAAAAAAATCTTGAGAATTGGTTATTCAAAAAACAAACAAATTAGCCAATAAAATAGCATTTGGTGTAATGGATCTCATCTAACTAATATAATATGTCCCTCACTTATCATGTGATTTTATTTGATATATTCTTTTTGTTTTGAATTAGTAGAGGCTCTAAAAATACCTATCTCTAATGCTGCGTACACACCATCCTGTCTAATGTTATACACACCAAATTCCAACATCTCACTTGTAAAATTTCATATAGTTGTAATGTAATTTGAGAACAACTCCAGAAAAGGTGCTAAAAATGTCAGTGTTGTCCACACCATAGCAACACAACTTTAACTGCTTCATTGTTCTGGGCAGAGACGGAGCCAAGAGATTTTTAATAAATTTAAAAAAGAAATGAACTACTTAAACACGTACATAAATATAAGCATTCCTCATGGGGACGGTATTGTGCCATGGCACTGCTTGAATATCAATAACTAAAAGATAAAACTAACACAAGCACAAGGGGCCAGAGGAAATCAAAGTGCATCCAAGTATATCAGTAAAGCTGAAAATTGACACCACTTTACCTATATGCTGCATCAACAGTACAATCATTGTAAGAAAGCAGGAAAAGATGCCTAATATGACACAACTATACAGAAAGAATGCTTCATTTCACCATATATTCTCTCCGTTCATCTGAGCAAATGGTCTCATTAGCTCCTTTACCCAATACCATCTGTTGATCAGGAAAGAGGTATCTAAGCATCAAGTTGACACCAATTGTATTATAGTAGTAATATCACAAATCAATAACAAAATCCCAACAAATTGACCAACCAACCATGAGAGAACACATAAAACTTGAACTGTTGAAGCAAACAAATTTAGAACTCAGAAAGGAGAAACTTTAACTGTCTGATACCTAGAGTTATAAGGAAAAAGGGACATAAAGGTTTTCCATTAATGCCAAACTGGCGAACTAGTGCAACAAAATTTGCATGAATTCTAAGTTGCTTCTCAATAAACTTATGACCTAACATGTTACATGAACAAGTTGGGTTTTGTAGCCTTGTATGTAGTCTTGAGTTTCCTAGTAGGTGGTCTGACTTTCTTGAACACCAAGGGGAACTTGATTTTGGAGTCATGGAACTGCTTGGTGCTCTCCCTCTTGCACAGTTTAGCTGGAATAGTGGCTGTCTTAATGATCTGGATGCAGTGATGGCGAACCCTGTGACGTGAAGCCATCTCTGTGTACATCTGTTCTACAGCTCCATTCAATGTGGTATCACGGTACTCCTTGTACATGTTGTGGTACCCAGTGCGACTCTGATAACGCAACCAAATGCCGTAGTTCTTGATCTTAGTAGGGTACTTCTCAAAGATCTACAGAGACGAACATAATATTTCAGTCAATCATACAAAAAAGTCATACACCACTTTAAAAGTAAAGTTCAAAAAGTCCCTCAACAGGGTGTTTGGCCAAATTGCCCCTCACTCTCCAGTCTCCCCCCAACTTATCAATAAACACACATTTCCAAAATTTCTCCCTAAATGCTTCCATCATTGAACTTGTCACAGAAACTGACTCCACATCTCCAATATATATATAATGTATGAGAAGAGTAATATCACCAGAAAATACTCTTTTTGTCATGCAAAATAGGAATAGTATGTGTGTGTGTGTGTATATATATATATATATATATATTACTAACAAATAGCAACAATATATGCTATGTTCTAGATTTAAGAGCACCAAGCATCATTGCCAAAATTGTACTGAAAGCAACTGAACAAACTCAAAACCAAAGCGTCCCTCTAAAACTAAAAACTTGCAAAGGGAAACTAGGCAGAGCAATTCAACAAAAAAGCAACTGTTGTTGTAGCTTGTAATAGCAGGAATCACTGGATGTGGCTCCTAATAAAACACTTTGAAACATGAATAAGACAGGAAGGGTGGCTTGGACACTGCTATTATAGAAAACTAGCAAGCAGAACAGAAAGCCAGCAATCCCCTCAAACTGGCTCATATGTAATCAATATGGGAAAAATAGTAACTCAAAATTAGTAACACAAAGCTTTCCAAACATGTTTTTTATACCTGCAATATCATGTCGTACAAGGAGAACTGTTTTCATAAGGTCCTAACCAAAGTGTCCTCTACACTCTAATTGGAAGGTTGACTGTCTACATTTCACCTCTAGGACATCAGATACAGCAATCCCATAAGATAGTTCTTTCTTTACTACTTAACAGACTAAAAAGATGTAAAAAGAAAAAAGACAAGAAGGCAATAGATGCATGGCGCAAAATCAATTTGAGGAACTGAAAAACAACAGCTTGCCAATGTAAGCTTTTTAAAGCATAAACAGACCCCAGCCCAAATAAATTAGTGTAAAACTAATATTAACATGATGGATCCTGATAAATCCAACTAATCCAGTGTTGAGACACAGTTGATTGTTCATTACGCTTCAACATACTAGCTTTGACATGAAAAACCAAATATACAAGTACATACCCGAAATAAATTGAAAATCATAGTAATTCATCCATAGACACATCACAAAAGTGTAAATATATACACCATACCTCATTAATAGCAAGCATCTGCCCGTTGCTCTTCTTAACCTTCTTCAGCTTCCTCAAAAAGTACCTTTTTCCAGTAAATCAACCAACATCCATTCAGTACAATCACTTCTCAATACACATTCAACTATCTAATAATATGCTTCTGGCACCTAATGCATTCAGCTTAAACTCAACATATAATTGAAATTTCTTCAAAAATATACGTAACCATAATAATTTCGCATATGCACTAGCTACTTCGGCGATTATACATTAATACTAAGAATGCGATCATCGCCAAAAATGATTAGTTGAGTAGACAGGTACTCACCAGAACTTGGATTTCGCACGGACCTCATTGGTAGCCCAAAGTTTCATGCGATAGATCTTTGGGTGTTCATCGGTCTCTGATGGAAGAGCTCTACCCACCACCTGGTACTGATGAAACTGGAAACAGAACAGAAACAAAGCTGGTATTAACAACTGAACCGTAAGAAATGGGAGAAGAAAAACAAGTGTAAGACCTTACTTTGAAGGTCACCATTTTCAGTGCCGTCCTCTCTCTCTCTCTCTCTCCCTCTCAAGCAGCTCTGTGTCCGTCTGTGGCGATGGTGAATGAAGGATTAGGGTTTTTGTTTGGAAATTTAGAGAAAATCATCGTGATCTGGGCTAGAAAATGGGCCAGCCCAAACTTGATGCAATTTGAATAAAATCTGGCCCAATATTACAGTTATAAAAGGAGAAGTCCAGTAAACAGTACCGTTACTTATGTTTTTCCTTTTAATTGTACCATTTATGATTTTAACATATGTTTCTTGCTCTCTTTTTTAAATTTAAAAAATGTACACCAAGGAAATAACCTAGTATAGTGGTTAATGAAGTAGGTGGAAAATTATGAGATTTTAGATTTGAATTTCAACGGATCAGATAATTGTTATTGTGGAAGACAACAAATATTTTGAGAAATTAGTTGAGATGCACACAAATTGATCCAAACACCATGATTTTTTTTAAAAAGAAGAAGTGCGAAAAATGTAGTTTTGCTCACCAGAACTTATGTTGTCTTGATCAATTGGGACACACTCGAGGTATGTATATGTGTCCTTGTTTGCCTTGTTATTTAATTACTACTACTAAAAATTATATATTCGATCTTAAGGATAACAAAACTAATAATGAATTTAACAAAGAGGCACCAATTGGTAGATGGATTGACGACGTAGCTAGTGACCTATAGAGCTCTTATTTACTTAGTCGAGAAAAAGTGGAACCACCGCTTCAATTTTTACGGTTTGTTAGAACATATTTTCTCAATAATCATAAAACTTCTAATATGTTGTTGATTGAACGAAAATAAGAGTCAATTTAACATTAAATATAATATCATATTGTGAATTTTCTTAGTAGGGGTGCATAATCAAGAATTGACCTCTCACGTCAATCGATTATTGTTATTTTGCAACATCATAATAAAGTATTTCGTACGAGTAGAATAGTTAAGCAATTTTGCATTCATGACCCTAATTTGAGACGAAGAAATATAATTATTCTTTGGAACACTCCTTTCTTTTCTAGTCACAATCTTGTGACACTTAATTTTCTTTATATGAAAAAGCAAAATATGTCCATAATTAGTCACATTTACGTATCCTATATGTATATACTAATATTAGTGATAAAAACATGGATTATTCGAAGTTAACAACAAAACAAGAAAAATAAACTATACAAGAAAATCCAGCTAGCAATCGATGCCAAGTCAAACAATAAAATTTGGGTATGTATAAATACTTAAAATTTTCACTAAGCTTTCCTCAACAAGAATACTTCCAATTAAGGCAATGGCTAGTTATTCCAATTTGTTAAGTCCTAAAAAATCACTTAATTTGCTCCTCATTTGCACGGTGCTGGCAGTGGCACTTCCAGCGGAGGCGTTACTATCGTGTAGCACGGTGTTTAGCAGCCTCGAGGGATGTGCCACTTACATCGTACTTGGTGGTAGACCTGTGCCACCAGAATGTTGCAGTGGACTTAAATCTCTTATTTCTACCGCCAAAACCATCCCTGATCGCAAGAGCTTTTGCTCATGCATCAAGGGTGTTGCTTATAGTGCAACCCCTGAAGAACTCGCCCGCGCAGCCGGTCTGTCCCGACGATGTCACGCCCGTGTTCCGTTCAAGATTAGCCCAGATGTGGACTGCTCAAAGGTCAAATAATATATATGTTGCTAGTTCTCTATGTAATAACATGGTTTGTTGAAAATAAAGTTGTTATTAAGATGTTATAGTTTCAATGGTATGTAGAGGTATATGCTAATAAGTCTAGTACTGTTTGTACTTTTATCGTGATTAAAATAAAATCTTTTGGTCACATTAAAAGAACCAAACTTTTATTAACCATTATAAATAGCATTAAACTAAACTTAAAAGCTAAGCCAAGATGCACATGATTTATTCTATTACTCCTTCTGTTCCAAAATAGTTGTCATGTTTCACTTCATGAGAGTCAATTTAACTAATATTCAAAGCTAAATTAGAATCGTCTACATCATACCACTTAAGGAGCGATGCTATAAGATCAAGCACTAGCAATCATAATACTTAAAAATACTGGATCATATATATTCAAACCTCATTACATAAATCGTCTTGCATTAAGAGAAAATTGTACATGGTGGTGATATTTCCTATGACCAATTACTATGTAATGAACTAATATGATCAACAAAAGCAAACACAAGACTCCTAAATATAAGTGAAAAGATCTAGGTGATCCTAAATCAAATGAAATATAATCAAATTTAGATAGTGAAATGTAGATCTTAGTCTAGGCAATCAATATTCTTAATGTATTAATATAGTATATCTCCTAACACAATCAAATATATATTAGTAATAAATAGCATAGCTAGCTAGCTAGAACAAGAAAAACTACTACTTAAAAGAGATAACAAAGAATCACCTAGAGAATAAAAAACTACCCGATGTAAACTAGAGTCAATTGTCCTACATCATATTGTTTATTAATACTCCACATACATAGTTACTTCACATTACTCAAACTACAAATGCTATAATGGCCACTAGCCCTAGATTAATGCTTCTTTCATTCATCCTGATAATTTACATGGTGGTGGCACCACCACCGGCTAAGGCGGTGATCACGTGTGACACCGTCTACGATGGCGTTAAACCATGTCTTAACTATGTGTTGTTTGGTGGAAGTGTTCCGATAGATTGTTGTAATGGACTTGAATCTCTTATCGCTTCTGCTACTACTACTGCAGACCGTCAGAGCGCGTGCTCGTGTGTAAAGAGTCTTGCATCGCATGCCACGGACGAAGAACTTAGTCGCGCTGCTAGTATCCCCGGACAATGTGGAGCAAGTGTTCCTTTCGAGATTAGCCCAAATGTTGATTGCTCAAAGGTGAAGTGAAGAAAAAGAAAAGATAGAAAATGAAAAAAGAGCTACAAAAATAATATTTTTCTTGTTTGGGTTTAATGTATATATAAATTAAGGTATACTACTTGAGAAGATGGCCTTAAATTAGTATGTTCCGTAATTTAATTCCAATATGGTTTTATCTTTCGATAAGAACTTTTATATGTTTAAACTCCATCTAATTAAATATAGAATGGGGAAAATTACACGTAAACATATATGGAGAAAAGAGATAAACAATCGGACTTGAAGGAAATAATTAGGAGAAAAGGGGAGAAATAATAGGATTATTTTTAATTGATATAATAATATATTTATTATCTAAATCATGGTTAGGGATATATTCTAATTAATTGAATCTTAGCCATTAAATCTAACTTATGCCATATGTCATTAATCAAGGCTAGAACTTGAGGAAATTAAATGGAGACAATGGAAATGGAGAGGAGTCGGATCTAACATATACTAGTTAATTAGTTAACATAGCTATAGTTTGCCTTAATTACAATTCGCGACCTATTTTTAGCTATAATTACGCGGTTCAGCCTTTTAGTTTCATATAATACACACGTTTGTATAATTCAAAATTTGTATAATATAATTTGTATAACTTTTGTATAATTCGGAATTTGTATAATATAATTTGTATAACTGTTTACACTTCTGATGTTTGTAATTGTATAAATTCGTTATTTCGAGTTTATACAAAAATAACTGAATTATTCAAATGTATCCGTAAATTATACAAACCTTATGCGAATTATACAAACGAGACAACTTAAACTCTCGCTACAACCCATAAATATGCAAATTATAGCTATGGAGCATAATTAAGTTTATTATAGTGGCTATTTGCAAAAATTTCCCAATTATAAGTTCTAATATACGACCTAGCTACCAAATATTTAATGAACTATTCAAAATGGAATTATATAAGTTAGCTATAGACAGTTCGAAATTCAGACTTTAAACTATTCAAAATGGAATAAGTTAGCTATTTACGTGAGTAATAAGACGTAAGTTTAGTCCATATTTAAACGTACTCAAAAGACAATAATTAATACATGTGCGAAACGTTCTCCATCATATATTAACAAAATATTTTTTTGTTAATGAAACTATTGATTGAGTTCTTGATTACTTGTGTATTAATATATGAGCTGATAGTAATAACTAATACAATATTTAAAGTTGAATAGTTGATAAACGTGTAGGCGAATGCCAACACTTTAAGCATCAAATACTATTTCCAGTTATTGAAGCAACGTCCATTTCTTCTTCATACTCTGATCCGTTTAGTTTCTTGTAAAATGAAATTATTCGAGATACGATTATGATATAGTTGATGACATGTGAAATTTATAAGTCGGTCAAATTGACTTAAGCATTCTTTTTAGTCTATCTACACATTTGATAAATACTTAATAGTCATAAGTTGATCATTTTTAACTTATAGTGTTTTTTTTAGCCTATAAACACTTTTAATTTAAACAAAAATTTATTCTATTATTTAAATATTTTTTCTAATTCTCCAAATACCTTTTTCAAAACAAAACCTCTAACTTCTTCCCCATTCCAAACCCATTGTTAATCATTTTCTATACAAAAATATATCCAAATTTATGATTTTTTATATAAAAACGGAAAAGGCTCAAAACCATCCTTAAACTATCTGAAATAGTTTAAGTAGGCGTTTGGCCATGGGATACCATATCACGATATGGAATCAGCGTTTGGACATGCGATTTTACGTTGATTCCATCTCATGATTCCATATCATGAGATGTGATTTCATATTCTCCAAAAAACATGATATGGGAATTCCATATCATGATTTGAGATATTTTTAATACAAAAATTGATCTACAAGTTTATATTTTGTTAAAACAACCCCACATTTATATCTACTAACCATTGTTATGCCGTAATTTAACTATCTATAGAAAAATTACTTTTTTGAAATGTTCTAAGTATAAAACATTTTGAGAAAATACTTAGAAAAGAGTCGCCACTTAATTTTTTAAAGAAATTAAGAAAACTTATAATTTTCAAAAGATTTAAATAGAAAAAAAATCAATTGAAAATACCAAAGAGGGTTCGGGGTTCAATTTACACTTCGAGAAGGGTTTAAGCATTCGAAGTGCCCGCTAACATGCGGTTGACCTGCGATTTGACTAAAATATATTTGACCATTTTTAGAAAAATAATGATTTAGCATAAAAATAATAACTTACAATATATTTGATTAACTTTGAGAAAATAACTAAATAAATGACGCATTTTTATTTCTTTATTTTATTTTTTAGAGAAAGGGATCCAAAATGATACATTTGACTCGAAATACAAGTGATTGGAATATTAATAAAACTAGATTAATTAGAATTTAATTAATTCATTTTTTTGAAATAATAATTTAAACCAATTTAATAAATTAAAGCATGAATATCATTTTGAATTAATTGACTAAACTTTTTGAGAAAACGACTAAGTATATATTTTATTTTTTAATTTTTTATTAATTGGAAAAGTTTTAACTAACATTTTTATAGTTTATTTAAGAAAAATATTTTAACTAAAAATAATAATTTTAAAATGAGTATAATATGAATAAGTGAAGAGGCGTTAAAACATATATCTTAAGAATAAAAGGTTTAACTTAATTAGAAAGTATAATTTGATCAACATGTTTGATTAATAAAATAAAATAAACATTAAAAGTTAACCAACACAAAGAAAATAACTTATCTTTTGGGGAATCTAATTAAGTTATTTAAAAATTATAAAGTTAGAGTTAAACAACAAACAATTAAATAATTAAAGAGTAAGGGAGAAATGAATTTGGGCCTCCTTTTGGGCCTGCTGCAATTTTTAGGAGGTTTAACCCAATCCCGTTTTTGTATACACAGGCTGTATATTAGTGTATATCGGCGTGTATATCAATTTTTTCCGTGCATCTCCTGCTTCCGAACACCTGTATTTTACCTCCGCCCTGTGTTTTTTCGTTTTTGACCTGTATATTGATGTATATTGAATGTATGCAGTGTATAATGAATGTATATAGTCCATCTTAAGACCTTCGAACACCTGCAATCTGGATTTCCAGCCCTGTATTTCATTCTATTTGCTTTGGCTGACTCAAGAGAAAGATGATTTGGGGGATGGCCTTAGTGACCTATCCGAAACGCAAAGGGGGAGGGAAAGTAGAGTTCGAAAGGACTCGGATGATTTCACATGCAAAAAGATAAAAAGAGGGTAAAAATTAGTGTCGGATAGTAATATCTCAAGCTTATAACTTTAAATGACAAAGAGGACCAGTCACTTGCAACTTAACAAGCAGCAAATAATCAACAGTAACCATAAGTTGAGCAAAATGCAAGCAAATCATTAGAAAATTAAAGCAAGCCATGGTGATCAAATTCTTCAACTTAGATTACTGTTTCCGACTAACTTTTTTTTTTCTTTTTTAGCCAATCGACGAACAAATGAAGCGAACAAGCTATGGACGACTCAAAATATAAAACGATGACTATAACTAAGTGAACTTACATGAACATTCAAACATGATGAGTTAATCTATCAACGCTCTTACAACTCAACAAACATGAAACAATGATAAGGGGAGTTGGAAGCTAAATTCAATCTAAACGAATAAAAATTTAGCAAGTGCTCTCTTTAAAAGCGAAAGAGAAGCAAAAGGATCCATCTAATTTTAACACACGCGAGAGTAGTATAGTCACATTGATTATAGCATTTAAAGACGAGCAAACTCATATGCTAAAGACCCATAGTTTAACGGCCAACCATTCTTACCACAAGAGATACTGCCTCAAAAAAAAAAAAAAAACAAATAGTCGAGCACCACAACATGATCAATTACCATGTATTTAACCGAAGCAAGATTAATTCAAAGACATAAGCAAACAAATGCAATTTAAGAAAGCTTGAACCACACGAGGGACTAAAAGAGGACAAACAAAAAGGAAAAAAAAAAACTAAGCAATGAACTGGAGAGGAAACAATATGCTGGGGCAAGCCTAAAATCTGGAAAAAAAACTATAGAACATATTTTTAAGAGTTCAACTGTAAATGACAAAGCATTTTTTGACTAAAAATTGGACGAGATGAAGACACAATTTAATACAAATAACCGCGGAGTTGCAAAATGGAGAAACGTACTGCTACAGACAACAAAGAACACAACATATAACTTCCACACTAACTAGTGGAGATTCTGCATCTTCCTCAGAATAAAAACAAACCAACAATAAGAAAACCCAAACTTAACTAACGAATTTCAGGCTTAAATCAGGACCAAAATAAACACATTTTTTTTATCTTCAACAACTAAAGGAACGCCAACTAAAAACCAAACGAACTATTACTGGACATTAACAGTAGACTAAGAAGGAACATGGGGCATTTGAGAAAGGAAGAAAAGAGTTGACAAAGAGACCATTCACGAATAGAGAAGAAAAAACCAACTAAAACGAATTAGAAATTAAAAGAAGTTTACCTTTTTGGGAGCAGCGACTGGGACGAACGAGCAAGGGAGGACAGTGATTCTTCCACCACCGAATCCGAATGCGAACAGTAAACCAAGAAAACCTGAGCGGCGTCCTTCTCAGAACTTTGAACCAGAGAGACGAATATAAAATTTAAGTGTAAAACGACTATTGCAAAATAATCGAATTCTAAAACATGTCAAAATCCAACTTCCAAACTTGTTCTAATAACTTGAATGTAAAGGATTATTTATAGGAGAAGGTTGGGCCATTTAGGGGGAAATCCATTGGAAAATTCAAACAAAGATTTGAATTTCTTTTGCTCTTTCGAAGCAACAGTGAAGGGGATGGGAAAAAGTTGAATTCCGCGAAAGAGGGGGAAAAGGGGACGTGAAGGTTTGACGTTGAGGCTTCTACGGTATGGGTTCTGCAGGGTAGCTTTCGCGGATTTTCTGGGTTTGCAACTTTGCTCATGTTCTCACGTGAAGATGACGAGCAAGATGGGGTCGGGTATTGCATTGTACGCTGCTGCTTGTATTGTTGAAATAGGTTTCTTTTGAATTGGGTTGTATTGAGGAATTGTTGCTGAAGTGGGCTGGTATTAAGAGTTGAATAGTGGGCTGGGTTATTGGGGGAAAAGGAAATGGGCCAAAAATAGGGAGTGTTGGGCCGACTGATGCTGGAAAAAAGGCCCAAAGCTGGCTTGAAATAATTAAAGTAAATGGTAAGGAAATTAATAAAAGGCCAAAGATTGCAAACTTAGCCTACTTAAATTGAGAAGTTAGTCAAATTGAATTTAATTAGCAAATTCGACATAAAACTTAAATAAGATGAATTAATTTTAATTAATTAACGAGCTTCTTAACCTTAACAAAATAAAATAATTAACTTAATTAAAAAAAACTAATTATTTCAATATATATATATATATATATATATATATATAACAATATATATGAACTATTATATAACTAAATAATTAACCAAATATTTAAAATATAAAATATTTTTGAGACGATTTTCGAATATTCATAAAATATACTAATTATATACATAATTATGTGAAAGATATATATTATCTAAAAATTATAAAAAGTGACAAAACTATTTAAAATAACTTGCGAACTATGTTATTATTATTGTTATTAATTTATTTATTTGAAATTTTATAAAACTAATTATTTAAAAATCGTTTTGAAAATTGAAGAAGCTCGATTATTAATCTATAATGTGGAGGTCCAAAATTGGGTGTCAACAACCATTTATTTCATATGTAAAATAAAATTTTATAATCACATCATTACTTTTTAAAATTTATTATTCTCGCCGACATAAAATTTATTATTCTCACCAACATATAGTCACTTTAACTTCACACCAAACCGAATTGTTGAGTAATAAATTTAGTTCTCGTCATTTACTCCAACACCTAATTTATTACTTCTACCATTTTGTATTTAATACAACTCAAAGTAACAATGTTGGTTCGTCTTTTTGATCACATGATCGAGAAATGCAAGTTCAATGTGAGAAAATTGTTCGTACTATATAGGAGGATTATATTAAAGACTAGTACACTACAATTTATGTTCAATTTTTTATTGAATTAAAGTTAGATGAAACAGTTACTTAAGTGGAGAATAAATAGTTTTGTAATAATTTATTATGTGATTTTATAAATTTTTATTTATTTGGTAAGATTGAATAAACAATTGAGGTTAGTTTAATAGTTTTACAACTTATGGGATTCTTATGTTTATGAGAAAATATACAACACAAAAATTTCATATCGCATGTCTAAACAAAACTTCAATTTCATCTCATAATTATATATTATGATATCATATCATGATACCTTATCACATGGTCAAACGTGTCCTAAATATACCCTTAAATTATATTTCGGCTCAAAAATACTCTTCCCGTTAAATTATTGGGTCACACCTACCCTTCTAGTTAACAGAAGTAACCATGTGTGTGTTAAATGCCACATGAACGCCACATTGCACGCCAAACAGACCCCACCTCCACATAGACTAATTAAATACCTAATTACTAGTTTTCCCCTCATTTCATCCTTTAGAAATGATTTCTCCCATTTCCCCTCATTTCATCCTTTAGAAATGATTTCTCCCATTTCCCCTCATTTCATCCTTTAGAAATGATTTCTCCCATTTCCCCTCATTTCATCCTTTAGAAATGATTTCTCCCATTTCCCCTCATTTCATCCTTTAGAAATGATTTCTCCCATTTCCCCTCATTTCATCCTTTAGAAATGATTTCTCCCATTTCCCCTCATTTCATCCTTTAGAAATGATTTCTCCCATTTCCCCTCATTTCATCCTTTAGAAATGATTTCTCCCATTTCCCCTCATTTCGCGCTTAGGATTTCATCCCTAATTAAATCTCTAGTTTCACGCTTTTTCCCCTCATTTCATCACTTTCTCGATCAAAATACCTAAGAACTTCATTCACATAGATTTCGAAACAATGTCAGAACCCTCTATCAATTCACTTAAAACATTGTATGCAAGAAGATGTCATTGTGGTCTCAATGCACTAAATTTGACGGCTTTGACTGATTTTGAATGCAGGAACACTACATCAAAAATAATCTTTAGTGGCAATTAATTAATGGCAATAGCTCAATTGCCGCTAAATGTGTATTTTTAGCGGCAATTAGCGCTCTTTGTATATGTCCCTAAATCATTTAGCGACATTGGATCTAATGACACTTAATTAATGTCGGTAAAGACTTTAGCACTCTTTATTAATGTGTCTATTTATTGCCGCTAAAAGTTATTTTTGTTGTAGTGGAAGAAGGTTCTACAAATGTCCAAGACCCAAAGTAGGTTGTAAATTAATTTGAGGTTTGGATGTTTATATACAAACTGTTATTGGTTAAATTAACATAAAGTATTTATGTAAATTAATGTGTAAATTTGATGGTTGAATTTGTACACTACATGTAGGTCACTTTATGTGGATATTGGGAATGGAAAGATAAACAACAACTCCAACCAAGAGCAGTAACTGTTATAATAGACATAAAGGGTAAATTGGATATCATGAAGGTTGAAAGAAATAATTGAAACGGATTGTCGATGGAATGGAAAAGACTGAAAGGGACAATCTGGAAAAAAATTTGAAGAAATGAAATTTATTTCAGCCCAAGAGGCTGGAAAAGTTATGCTTTTGGAGAAGAAAATCAAAAAGTTAAAAACTATCATTTTCATTTCATGTGCTTTGTTCATTGTGTTTCTTGCAAGGATCATGACTATCATTTTCATTTTAGGACTCAATGTATGAATTGAATGTTTGTTCGTGTTGTATTACCTATGGAGTTTGTGTTTTGTAATGATGTTGTAGTACTTATGGAGTTTGTATTTTGCAATGAGGGGAGTAGTTGTACAGGGGAAAAGAATGGAATTTCACTAGCTTGTTGTTTGTTGAAAATCAGTAGAGTTGGTCAATAGAGAACTGAAACGATAATGCATTACCAACATTAGCTAAAAAATTGGAAATAAACTTCACACAAACTGGATAAAAATCAAACATTAATGCTAACCAAACTAAGTAGAGAACTAGAAATAAACTTCACAAAATCGAAACATTAATGCTTCACTAAACTTCATAACTTAATACCAACTTCAAGGCAAAAACAAACATAAGCATTCATTGTTTTGCATCTAATAATGTCAACCCAAAATAAATATAAGCATTCATTGTTTTGCATCTACCAACTTCAACCCAAAATAACTAAATGCATTCATTGTTTTGCATCTACCAACTTTAAGCAAAAATAAATAAAAGCAAACAACTTTTTGCACTATCCAGAACACTTCAAATCTGAGATTTCCCATCAACGTTTCTTGTCTTCAACTGCCCACCTTCTTGTGTCTCTCTCTTTCCAGCTGATTGTCAGTGACAACTTCTTTTCCTTTCCAAGTGAGCTTAGTAGGTGAGTAAGGCAAATATGTAGGCTCACTAATTCCAGCATGATCACCTCTAAATGATATAACTTTATTTTTAGTTGCTCTTTGTTGATTCATCCTCATCTTCAGTTTTGTGCGATTTTCATATATGACTGGAGGCCTTATATATGGATTACTTTCAGGTTCTATAGTAGGACCAAATGGTTCATACTGTTGTTGTGACAATTCAGGTGTGGGCATGATATGGTATTCTTCATCTTGTGTTGGTCTATGGGCTGACCTATTAACATCATAAACTATGAAGCTTCTTGTTCTTCTTCAGATTCTTCCTCAGTTCTGCCCTTTTTTTTCTTCAATGTTGCCTCTTGTTCTTCTTCAACAAACTGAAAATACAATGTTTATGTGCTAAAATTTAGGGGTACAGTCAACTATATAATACTAATAACAGAGAGATATGTAAATGAGTAATGTTCTTACATTGCATGTCCTTGCATTGTGAGTTGATTCACCACATTTACTACATGTCATTTTAGTTCTTTTTCTTGAGTGAGCCCACTCTCCTGTTCTTTTAATTGTTGCATCTTTTTTCCTACTTCTTTTGAGCTTTGGTCTACCCACTGTTTTCACAAAATCAGGTGGGTCCATCCCATGTTCTGGCAATACATTCCAAAATTGTTCACCTCTTACAAGCATCAACTTTGCCTTATATGTCATCAAGTAAGCTTCCTTACTGTACAATAAATTAATTTCATTCTTTGGTTCTATCTCCTGGTACAACATAGCTTTGATGGCATGAGGAAATGAAATGCCAGACAAATGCCATGACCTACATGTGCATTTTTTCTCCATTAAGTTCTCTGTGTGCCTATCTTCACCCTCAGACTACTTCATATCCAAGATCACCATTGAAATCAACATTACATAACTGGGATATCTTTATATATGCTTTGAACAATTTCATGCACTTAGGACTGTGATTAGTAGTCCATTTGGTTGCATTCTCTTTCTTCTTTCTTAATCTGTTCATTATCTTAATTCTTATATCTTCAAGCATTTTCAAGATTGGCTTACCTCTTGCTTTCAGAATCCAAGAGTTGAAGGACTCTGTGAAATTGTTATCCATCATTTGATTTTTGCATATAGTATCCAAATATGCCCTGCACCATGTCTGTGGTGGATACCTAAGCAAATCCTTGACAACACTTTTTGACAATGCACCAAGTGTAATCAACTGATCCTTGAAATCTTCCTCATAAGTACTCCAAGCAGCCCACCAAAACAGTTTCTTCATTTCTGACCTAAATCTCTTCATCCACTTGGCCTCAATTTTCCTAACACATTACCTATAATCAATAAACATGAATAGTTAGTTATATATTCAAGAGACAAAATAATTAAAGCAACTTAAAGTACTTGTGCTGAGACAAATGAAGGACATTTTTTATTGTTTCTATCAGTCCCTGCACATGTCAAATAAGTAAATATACAGTTACCAATTGTTATAAAAAAGATAAAATTATTCAAAGATTATTTATTTACCTTCTGTATATCAGACATAAAGGTGACAGTTACACCATCTTTCAGATTCAATGAATTGTTCAGAAGTTGTAGAAACCATATCCATATCCTAGTTGTCTCATTATCAACTATAGCCCATGCTAATGGATAGAAGCAATTCTGAGAATCTTGTTCCATAGCCACCAAAAGTTGTCCCTTGCATTGACCCTTCAAGAAGGTCCCATCTAGTCCAATAAAGGGTCTCAATCCTTCTTTCCGTCCCAACTTCAGAGCATTGAGGCAGATGTACATCCTAAGAACTTTCTTTTACCTTGTTCCAATCCATCATTTGAGAAATTAATCACAATATCACTATCAAAATTGCGTAGCCTAAGCTTATTTGCATAAGCCTCAATTCTGTTGAAATCATCTAAGAAAATTCCCTGCAATTTTTGAAGAGCCACCCTCTTGGATCCTTTCAACTTAGAGGTACTAGCATTCAAATTAAACTGATCATTCAAGTCTTTTCTCATATCCTTAAGCTTGTACTGAGGATTATTCTGCAGTTTACTCTTTAAATATTGTGCTAAAATACTTATGCAGGCTCTAGGATTTATAAATGCATTCTCACAATTGTGATTTGTTTTCAGTGTTTTAACCATAAAACCTGGACCTTACCATCTTGTGAAATAAAAAAGACAAATGGACAACCAATCATGCATTTATACCTTAGTTTAGTTCTGTCACTTTTTTCCACTATTATAGGCTTGGAATTTACAAGAGAATACAAATTCACAATTTTTCTTGCCTCATTCAAGTCCTTGAAAGTCATGGAGGAATGAAGTTCTTTGTAGTGACTGAGATCAACATTTACTTCTTTAGATTTCTGCATCTTAATAAGCTCTAACTCATCAATGTTATATTCATCATCACTAGACTGGTCATTATCACTACAATCACTTTTTGTTTCAGCATCAGTTTCATATTCACACTCTACCAAGTATGTTTCACTATGGTGAATAATATTTGGTGCAGAAATAATTTCTTTAAAATCATCCACATCAAAGAAATGAACCACCTTAAATTGTTCATTTAATAGGCATTGCAGTGTCCTACTTCCTTCAGATCCTTCAACCAAGTAAATTTTTTCCGGAAGGCCCTTTCACTAGTATTTGCTTTTTACAAGCACAAATTCTAAGTTTTTTGTGTACTGTTTCACTATCTTATCATAATCTAAGATATCTACACCAGTGTCTCTCCTAGTAGTAATATACTTTTTGTCATATGTAGTGATTTTGTAATCCATTTACCCCCATAATGCAACATAAGGTCAACCAAAAGATCTTTCATATTGAACTGAGAAAAAAAAAAGCAGACAGAATGAGCCTCAGACATAGTGACTTTATGAGCAGAAATGAATAAGATACACTTTAGTAACTACATAAATGAATAAGAAACACAAACACACAGAAGCTAAATAAATAAGTCATTACACTTTAGAAATCTGTACTAAAAGAAAGAGAAAACAAACTGTGGCCACAAGTTTACTACAACATAAAGAATAGAGTGAAAAAAACTCAACAAACATAAATGAATAAGATATACAAACACACATGACCTAAATAAATAAGTCATTACTCCTTACTACTATAAAACACGGAGGAGCTACATGTTTAATACAACATAAATAAATAAGAAACACAAACACACACGAGCTAAATAAATAAGTCATTACTCTTTAATGCTATAAAACATAGGAGCTACATGATTATTACAACATAAGTGAATAAGAAACACAAACACACAGGGGCATTGGGACCCCACACATCAAGTCTTTACAGGGGTCATATATTTTACAACATAAACAATAGTGGGAAAATATATGACCAAACAGGCCTTAAACTTTAGGAATCTATATTGAAAGAAAGAAAAAAGATAACATGCAGGGGGGGGACATGTTTAATACAACATAAACAATAAATATAAAACTCTTAACAAAAAGGCCATAATAAATAATGAAAAAGGGCATTTTGGACCAAGTCCTTACTGTTACGCATAAATGAACTAAAAGAAAGAAAAAGCATACATGGGCCACATGTTTTACAACATAAACAATAGTAGGAAAAAATATGAACAAACATGCCTTAAACATTAGGAATCTAAACTAAAAGAAAGAAAAAACATACAGGGGCCACTGCTTAATATAACATAAACAATAGATATAAAAACTCTGAACAAAAAGGTCATAATAAATAATGAAAAAGGACAATTAGGACCAAGTCCTTACTGTTATGCAGAAATGAACTAAAAGAAAGAAAAAGCATACATGGATCATATGTTTTACAACATAAACAATAGTGGGAAAAATATGAATAAACATGCCTTAACCTTTAGGAATCTAAACTGAAAGAAAGAAAAAAACATACATGGGCACATATTTAATACAATATAAACAATAGAGGGAAAACCTCGTGAAGCCGTAACATCGGGGAAATAAGGATAACTATCGTCGGAGCAAGCGTATCGCCTAACTACGGCCCAAACTATCAGACTCAAGTCTGCTACACCAGTCTACAGGGATCTAAGTCGGCCGAGCGACGTCGGGGCAGAACCAAGGCCTATCGATTTCGAATCATGCATTTTAAAGCAAGCCCTAGTCAAACCTAAACTAAGGCCCATCATGCTTCAAATAAACAGTAATTAAGCATACAAGCACTCAACATAGCGATGACGGTCAATTAGTAACACATAGCATGCTCATAGTTACCGAATAATTCCCGAAAGAGGTCAAAACATGATTTCTAAACACCTATGCATGATTCAATAACTACCAACTCAAATCCCAACTACTCAACATGCATTCACACTCTCGAGCTCAATCTAAGAGAGGGAAACTGTAGGCTACCTGTAGGCCAATTACGCGCGCTCCAAAATCACTCATATGGAGCTTTCCCTTTCCGAACGGCCTCGAAACGCTGACACACTATCAAAAATAGAATCACAATGTTATTACGGTCGATTAGACACTAAAATTGTAAGAAACGGAGAAGGACCAATTTCGTGGTCAAAATAGGGAAATTCGGATCCGCGCTAAAAATTCCAAAATTAACTCCAAAAATAAGTTCTTAACAACTCCCCAAACCTGTGTTTCATGATGGGACACAATTCGGGGCTCGAAAACAACACAAAGCCAACATGCAACCAAAACCCAAATTTTCCTCAAGAACTAAAGAAATGGGACAACAATTAATTCAGCATATTTAAAAGAAACGGGTGGCCTACAGTAAATTCCGACAATACCACAACGGTCTCCTCGAAAAACCCCTCAAAATGGACTCAGGAATCGCTGAATTCGGACCTAAAATGGATGAGAAAACAAGTATCAAAAATCCCAAAATCAAGCTCACAAAAAAAGGGGTTGTGGCAGCAGGTATTTTGTGAAATTTACCTCGAACGGGGACCCCAAATCAGATTTCGAGATCACCAACGAGTTGTCCTCGACAAATCTCACAAGTTTGCATGTTGAATCGCCCAGATTGGAGCTCCAAAGCTCAAGTTATCGCACTTTAAAGAAACTGAGGAATAAAGATAAGTTGGAGTTTTATAAAGGGCGAAACTGGTCGCTAAAAACCCAAAAGTTGATCGTTAAAGGCCCGAACTCTGGTCGCTAAAGAGTTGCACCAGATCTTAGCTTTGGCAAAATTCTTCAAAGTCTCCGACGGGGTGCTCAGAATTCGTTCGGTACTCGATAAAAATAAAACAGATATGCTACCCTGTTAAATTCGACATTCTGGACTTAACGGCGCAGTCAAAATTTCCATCAGAGGTCATCTCAATAAAAAGTGGGTCCCACTTCCAAAAGCCATTTTAACCAAAATCCACCGAGGGGAATGATGAGTCCAGAGGCCTCGGGAGTCGAACGAAACGTCGTTCTAGACCAAACTTAACATTCCGGAGCTAATCGCACTGACTCACACTGAAAACCTTGAGAGTCATGCCGACCATGCTACTAGCTTAAAATGACCCTTCCGGAGCTAATGAGATCATCAAAATTCTATTCTGAGGTCATCTTCTTGAACTATTGATAAAAAATGACCGTTTAAGGTTCATAAGCTACAAAACACTAAAACTCGCACCATAACCAAACGAACGACCAGGTGACCGAACGGTCAGTCCCAGCAAGTCATAAGACTTGGGGTCGCTACAGAACGCTCTAAACGACAAACAGAAAGCAAGACATAGAAATGACCAGGAGGGTCATTACATCTATACTCTGCCTCAGTGCTGGAGCGAGCAACAACAACTTGCTTCCGAGAAGACCAGCTCACAAGATTACCTCCTAGAAAAATGGC